TCCAGCCAGAGGATTTGAACATGGATAGGACAAACAAGGGAAGATTTTTGCCCAGAAAATAATTCTTTTTACAGGCATTAAGCCACCCCGGACACTAACAGTATCATTACAGGAGCATTATAATATTAAAGTCACAAATGAATAGCCTTAAAATCACATCAAAGGCTAAGCAGCATGAGGAAATTCTTCCACATCTTCTTCCACCTCATAGGGTTTTTGTTGTTGTTGTTGTTGCTGTTGTTGTTTTGTTTCTATTTTTAAAACTGGTGAACAGCTCAATTTCTTTGTACTTATTTGTAAGAATGTGTGCAAACATGTCAGAGTGTATGTGTATAATGTGTGTGTCTTTAACCTCTGAGCATACCTGTGGAACTGATTGAAATAAAAAAGCAAAACTCTAGATTTTCTTAAAAAATAAATTCATGAGCATGTAATAGATTCAGGGGATCAGAAACAAAGCACAAAAAAAAATTGTTTAATACCAGGATGTCTATATTGACCAAGGTTCAAAGAAGAAAGTTTCTCTACCCTGAAAGATGTTTTCCTTTAAATTTTCTGTACCACTAAATCTTGTTAATTTAAGTTTTATATCAGGATAAGAAGTATCCAGTAAACAAGAATTAGGCACCAACTTTGAAATGGAGACAAAAAAAAAGTAACTTAAAGTAATCAATGATCACCTTCAAAGGAAAGAAAAAGGGAAGAACATTATAAAAGATTTTCTCAGACATGTAACTGGCAGTATGAAGATGACAATCATTAATGAAAAGTTAGTTCATGGGCACCTGGATGGCTCAGTTGGTTAAGCAACTGCCTTTGGCTCAGGTCATGATCCTGGAGTCCCAGGATCGAGTCCCATACTGGGCTCCCTACTTAGAAGGGAGTCTGCTTCTCCCTCTGACCCTCCCCCCCTCATGCTCTCTTTCTCATTCTATCTCTTTCTCAAATAAATAAATAAATAAAAACTTTTTTTAAAAGTTCATTAAGGAATTCACATCTATAAAGTAGTATCTATAAGGAGAAAAAACATCAAATTAGATCAATGTGCACTGTCATTACTGATAAAAGGGAAAAATTAAACAATTACAGCATGCTGTGCATATCAGGAAGTTTAACTTGTATTCATCTTAGGGTAATTGGTTCATAGTTTGCTGAGGAATGTCAGTTGTTTTGTAATCCAATAAAAAAAAATTTTAAAATTAATGGCAAAGAAAAAAAAAGGAGAATCTAAACTCTGCAGAAAATGCTCTATGGAATATTTAGCAACTCTAAACAAAAAGATCACACAAATTCTAAGATTGACAGCATCCTAAGATGTTATAATTCTTTCTATTTTTTAAATGGAACTTTTTCCTTTAGGATGGATACCTGTTTACATTATTTTTAACTGTATCTAGATAGGAAGACTCCAAGAGTATAATCACTTTTAGCCTAAAAAGATTATAAAGTCTCTATATTTGATTTATCTTTCATTTATTTTAGAACAAAAAGTTCATTTTTTTATTTGAGATAAATTAGCCCCATAATATTCAATATGTTATAATCTTCAGTTTTTTTTGACTTGGTGTGAACAAAAATGCCAATTATCAGTGAAAATGTATCTTCAAGACATTTTTCTTTGGGTCCAAATGGTATAAATTGCCAACAAATATTACATTCAAAGTAATATTAATATTTTTGCAACATATAAAAATTATCTGTATCACCACTGAGTCAAATTATTTATAATTCAAATATATTTTACCTCGGAGCAAATATCTGATTTTTATAAACTCAAGAAATTAAAAAGTAACAAAATAGTTTAGGGTGAGAGGATAGTCTAAATTTCATTATATTTATGTGTGTGCGTTTATCAGTCATATTTTGGCAAAGAAAGGAGGGAGAAACAAACATAATTCCCTGTCTTCAGATCAATCCCAGAGCAGACTTTTTTCAATAACTTGTCAGTACTTATAAATAATTTCTTAAATACTGCTGGGTTTTGGCTACATTTCTTCATTTAATTTTTACCTTATATGATAAATCTTTACTGACTTAATTCTGGAATTGTAAGTACTATGAGATAGGCACACATTCCTTAGTCCAGACAAATTTGCAAAGCTCATTATCTTGAACCAGATAGGAAAAGACCTTCAAGAATGATTTCATTTAGCTTTTGAGTAAGTATATTTATATAAAACAACATAAAATAACTTATCCATGAAAAATAAAACAAGATGGCCAGAGACCTTTTTTTTATAAGACAAACACTCCCTGAAATTCAAGAATGTGCATTCAACAAAATGAAGTAATGAAAATTTCATGCAAAAAAAATATGCTGGTAAAAAAATACAAGTCTCAGATTTTGGGGGTTGAGATTGGTTTCTCTTTAAATTAAAAATTCCTAGTCTTTGCGTAGAAAGCTGTGTTATGAAATTAAATTGAGAAAAATTTTAATATAAATAAACAAGGTACAAATTAATAAGGTATTGCTATTTTTAAAAAGTAATATACTTCTACAAGACAATACATTCAAAAATTTATCTTAGCAAGTCTCAGATTTAGTTATGCTGAAACTTAAGCTTTGGGTCTACCTTTGACCTTTGAGTGTAGATGTGATTCCAGTATAACTGAGAAATTATACTAAAATTTAATTATTCTTATACAGAAAATCCAGGTACCTATAGAATTCACGTGGTGCATGTGTGCACCATGCTAAAGTATTACTACTCTTCAGTTACCAAGTAATAGGTTAATTGAACCTTCTCTCAAACACTTTGTCTAATGCTATAGATGCAACAAAGTGAATTGTTTTTAAGTTAATTTTGTGTATATATTGGGGAAGAAAAATTTTTGAGAACAAGGGCTGATTCACATACAAGTAAGCAAGAATTCATAGCTGAATATCATCAGTAAATTCACATTAACATTATGTAGGTTAAATAAATATAGTGTGGATAAGTATATAATAAAATACATTCTATATTTGGTTTGTTCCTTAAGAAAACCTTAAATACATAAATTTATTAGATCTTAGATCTCAGATATTTCCTCCAGTTTTATTCACTTCCTTCAAACGTGGACCTAAGAAATACAGTATCTTCTTATGATCTCCATCCCCTAACTATAACTAACACTTCTGGATTGATTGGAAAGGAAGAAGCCAACTTGTATCTCAGTCAGAAGTAAAGAAATGGTATTAAAAAAACATCTCTGAAACTGTATCATAGTTATCAATCCTTTTGAGGTAGAAAAGACTCATATCATGTGGCAGTTTTCTTGATAGTTACCGTATACTCAACCTAATTATCTTATTTAATCAAAATCTGAGCAGAGTTTTTAGGACAAAATTTTTATCTTCCAGGAAACAGGGACATAGAGTATTCTTCCCAGGTGGCTTCAGAGAGAAAAGAACTGTAGAGCACCAGGTAACCAGCCTTCTAGTCAAATAGGGCCAGTTGTCCTCACAAGATCACAAACTGCTTCCTACTTATAAATTCTAAAAATGCATCACTGCTGGTCTAACATTAAAAGTAAGTGGTGGATTTCTAGGGGCGCCTGGGTGGCTCAGTGGGTTAAACCTCTGCCTTCGGCTCAGGTCATGATCCCAGGGTCCTGGGATGGAGCCCTGCATCGGTCTCTCTGCTCAGCAGGGAGCCTGCTTCTCCCTCTCTCTCTGCCTGCCTCTCTGCCTACTTGTGATCTCTCTCTGTCAAATAAATAAATAAAACCTTAAAAAAAAATAAAAAAGTAAGTGGTGGATTTCTAGATACACTCTTCAGAAAATTTTGAGCATTCTTAAATAAGCAGGAACTAGGAGAAAAAGAATTTTCAGATACAAAAAGAAAGGATGTTCAAAGGAATATTTTCAACAATGTTTTATGAAAATAAATTACTGTAATTTAACAATATAGCCATATATCTTCAGAATACAATATGCAGTATATTGAAAAGTGCCCAATTCTGTATATTTATGAGTTGAATATGTGCTGAAGAGTCAAAAGTAAATAAGTAGAACAGGAACAAAATCAATACAAATATTGATTTTCTGGCTTTTTTTTGGACCTTACACTACAATTTCATATATTTATGCAAGTTTAAATATTTCCATGAAGACTTTCATCAAGTTCTCTGTAATAGTCTAACACCAAAACAGTTTCAGATGGACAGCTCTCATGACTGAATGGCCCTTCTGACAATGGCCTGGATTAAAAAATGGAAATACATTTGTTGTAGGAATACGCAATGTTTTGGTTTACTTACTTATTGTTATTTTAAAACATTTCTCAGAAGGTTGATAATGCTCAGCACAATATCAGGAAATCCTTTCTATGTACTTGCTGTTGGGTCTCTACCTCTTTTATTTTTGCTCGAAATGAAAAATGTAGATATGTAACACACATATTAATATGTCTATTGGTACGACATTCAGTACAATTCACTTTAAATCAGTATACGCTACGATTGATGTATTCAGATTGAAATCTTCAGAAGCTGAAAAGAAAAGCAGTCATGAGAAAGGGTTGGTTATTTCTCAGAATGTTGGTTTGCCAGAGCGTCTGTTGTCATCCATCACCCTGTGAGGATAGAATGCTGGCTAAGTAGAATTATTAGTCTTACTCCTCTGAGTCTACCAGGTATAGGCACAGGCCTTCCCAAACACTAAAATCGAAGCAGATAACCATAAATAATTTTGAGAAATAACTCTGAGAAAAAAAAATCACATTTAAAAAACTATGTTAGAAAAAATATGGTTAAAAGCAGAATACATAATAAGTTAATAATTAACTTAATAATTAACCCTTGCGAAGAGAGCATACCTGAAAAAGAGAGATTTTGTGTTTAAAAGTTAGCACTTCATATGGACAAGGTCAAGCTTAAAAAGACATGATACGTTGAGGTTATCCACTGATACATTGTTTGCCTGATTGGTTTTAGGATGTGCTTAACAGCCAAATGGTCAGATCAAGGTAAAGAAGAGATCAGGTGCAAAAGTTCAAAATCACAGCTTCCTCTCTTACCTTCCACTGAGGAGGAAGCCGATAACCACTGCCAACAAAATGACTCCCACTGTCACGGACACAGCAATTATAGGAATCTGGCTTTGATCGCTGGATGCTGCAACTGCTGATAGGAAACACAGGGAATGGAGCCCGTGGTTAAAGAGAATATGCATTCGAATACGAGCTGCTTAATAGTCGCTAATCGATGTGTGGTTTAAGCAATTCCCCCACACTTGACCAAGATTTCCCCCTCATATCTCTGCTCAATGGTGTATAATTGAAAAGATATCTTCGGGAGAAAATATTTACTCTCCAAGTGGAAATTTGAAAGAATCACGAAGTCACTGATTATTTCCTTGTCATCATAAAAACTGAATGTAATTGTTCGCATAGTATTTATCGAGGGATCTTGGGTTTGCAAGATAAAATGAAACTTAGTCCTTGACATCAAACGCCTTCATCTGAATAAGAGCTGCTAAGTATATGAGTTCTGACATTTTAGAGTTTACATGTGGCTGTTCTCCAGAAAAAAATCTTGATACCTCAGACAGGGTTGTTGCTTTTCTTTTTTTTTTTTTTTAAATTTCCCCATAGACACAGGTTGAACGTCAAAATGTTCTGGCTATGACTTCAGTGAATATTAAGATAATATTACTACTCCCAATATAAGTTTAAAAACTGTTTCAAGCAGAATCTAGTCAGTGAGTATACTTGATGTGTAGGACTACTTTTCAAAAGAGATCAAGGCATGCATTTAGAACTTTGAGAAGTCTCCAATAAAAGTAGATTCGTTTACATCATCTCTTTTTAAATACACGGCTTCCAATGAAATATTCTACATTTTAACAGTATGATTATCGTAATAGGAGGAATATGGACATGAGTAGATAGTTGTACCTCAATAAGCACAGAGATATTTATTATGCATTACTAAACCAAGAAACCTATGGAGCAAAATAAATTTTACTAATGTTCTCAAAAACTGTTCAGTAAGATACATACTATACTATCGCTTAAGAACATAATCATTTTGATAAATTCAGAATGGCCTTAGCTCACCTTCCTAACAAATTTTAAGTCATCAAAAGTAATAACAACTATACTTTCCATGTTTTGTTTCTTATAACCCCTTACCAGATCTTGACCCCATCAATAGTTTTGGACATCCAAACACTTCCCTTTCGATTATTGTTACCTCACCCTTGATTCTTTCAAAACAAAATTGACTGATTCTCTGACACTTCTTTCACTTAAATTACACTTTTAACCCTTTCAGACCAGTCTTCAAACCCAATATCAACAATAGCTTGGTCATGTATGAGAAAGACTGTTATTGATAATCTAAATCTATGTTCTTACCCTCCCTTTTCTTGGTTAATAGAATGGTTCAGTGGTTCTTTATCTTGATTTTTCTCTCCTATTATCTGATGTTGAAGTCTGTGGAATTTAGCCAGTGTGCAATAGAATTGGGGTAGGGTAAAGCTACTCCACTACCGCAAAGAGCCTAGACCCAAGATTTGCTTTTATAATCCCTAAACTCAGATTATTTATAACATTGCTTTTTCTCAGTTCTTTAATTTTCTTTTTAGTACGGGGAATGTTCCTAGAGAAAATCATGCAGACTTGGTCTATATACATGACATTATTTTTATTGGTCTCTAACTGCCGTTCCAATTATTTTGATTCTCTCTTACTAATTTCCTGACAAAATCATCCCTGTAATGAGTCCTTCTCATTTTCTCAAAAAACTAACTCATTACCACTTCTCGTGTTTCAGAAATGTTAAACTTTATAGATAATAAAGAGTGATGAAGTCTGAATGCCATGGTTAAATAAAACTGTATGGGTATGCAGTTTTCCTTTGCTTTACCTAACTCCAAGATTAGAATTCTTTCTCTCTTCTAAGACCTGGCACCTTCAACAATCTCCCTCCAGGGAAGTTTTTCATTCCCTTACAGGCTACTTCTCTGCTATCTATAAGCCTGAACACATAATTCTCCTTAGCGGACACAGATCCTTACACCTAAACTTACTGATGTTAGTTCAACTTAAATTTGAAAACAGGTTCAACATTTAGTAGGCCAAAGCAAAGTACTTATCCTTATTAAGTCTCATTTCATTAATCTCCAAATAGGGATAATTTTCCTGGATCATTATAATTCTGTTTAGAGATAATATTTAGCATAGTGCTTCAATTATTGTCAACCTTAAACAAATAGTAGATAATATTTCTGCATATTATTATCTAATCCTGCTTTATCACTCTTATTATTTCCTATTTGTCAGCATCTTGACTAAGTTATCTAGGACCAGCTTCATTTTCTGATGACCACTGTAAATTCTCTCTGAAACTTCTCTTCTGTCTTTGAGTTCTATGTGTGATGTTCTGGCTGCATGCAATAAGTACTTTTCCATTTCCCTTACCATGCATTATAGGGCATTTGACCTTGTTGAACATAAACTTTGACCTTGAGACTCTGTTCCTCTTGGTTTCTATGACATCAGATGAGTTGTTTTCTCTTTTTCCCCCACTCTGAAGTCCTACTTTGTCAGTTCTGCTGGCTTCACATTCTCTCCCTGTGTCTTATGCCTGAACAATTTCTGATGAATGCTGGCTCTTAATCCTCCACACTTCCCCCCCGACCCAGCTCTTCACTCTTTCTCCTTCCCTTCTTTCTTCTCTCCCTACCTCTCATGGATACTTCTTTGCATATAGCATCAGTTAACTATAAGCTGATGAGTTCCAAATTTATATTCCCAGCTCTTCTTTCTCTTCAAAATTTGACTCTTAAAATTAAAAAAAAAAAAAAAGACTGCTTTCTTTTTATTTGGATTGTATTTTCATATAAAAACAATATATTTAAAATCAGCCCTTATACCACATCCAACCTCAAGGGTATTAACAAAAACACATCAATAAATAAACATACCAAAAATCTAATTTGACTAATTTGACATAAGACTAATTTGATCTCTTTTCTTCTGGTTTCTTTTAACTATCACTGAATTTTTCTTAACTCCTACTTGCCTATTAATTAATAAACACGTTCTCTGTTATTCTGTTTTTCCCCATGAATTATATTTTTTCATCTGATAGTCACCTATTTGATTCAAATCTGCTTGCGTATGGTTTGTTGGTGTTTTAAGTGTCCCCTTTGCCTTCTATGTGAGAATTCACATAAATGTCCAAAAATATCACTTTGATCATGTTTCCCTGGCCAAAAAGTTAATAAGCATTTATTATCTATGAAAAAAGAAAAAAGTCCCAAATTCTCTATCTAGCATTCCAAGCTCTTCTAACAAAATTCTAACAGATCTTTCCGGTCTCAATGTGGCATTTTGGCACTCTGAGATTTAGTTTTGGAGAGAGGGGGCATGATTGATCAGAGTTAGGTTTAAAAGTGGGACAATTTCAGACTAACCAAATATTAATTTTGAGAAAAAAATATGAATGCCTCATACTGTCAAATGCTTCATTTTTTTTAAATTTTATTTATTTATTTGACAGACAGAGATCACAAGTAGGCAGAGAGGCAGTCAGAGAGAGAGGGGGAAGCAGGCCCCCCGCCGAGCAGAGAGCCTGATGTGGGGCTGGATCCCAGGACCCTGAGATCATGACCTGAGCCGAAGGCAGAGGCTTTAACCCACTGAGCCACTCAGGTGCCCCAAATGCTTCATTTTCAATAACTGACAAGACCTACTCTAATTTAACAATATGTTAAAACATGCATAGTATGGGTTAACATCTTGCAATAAAGTAAGTTTTAGTGGCATACCAACAATTTTCAAATGCTTAAATTAATACATTTTATGAAAATATGTTTTAGTAATGCCAAATCACAAACATTAATATTTACATGTTTTTATCTACTGTTCACTTAAATCAGATCTTTTAGTATAATAGACAATTAAATCAAGGGCCTATGAAAAAGAATTTAAATAACATTTTCATTTTTTAAAAAAATTTCAGCATTTTCTAATTCCCTTGATGGGCTTTAATTATTTTACTATTTCAAATGTACTAATTTTTGTGAGCTATTTCTATTAAATATAATTCATTAAGATTTTGTACTATTTATTCCTTTGTTTGCCCTGACAGCATCAATAATATCCCCAATATATCACCTAACTTGAAAATATATAGAATTGAAAAGGTCAAAACCTTCATATTTCTTCAGGGAAAAAAATTATAAAAATTATAAAAATAAAAAAATATATAAAAATAAAAATAAAATTAAAAACACAAAAAATATAATTATGAATTATAATATCTGATTATTGCTTTAATATGTCATTAAGTTTTTTTAACCTTTAAAGATACAAACCTCAAAAAAAAATAAAAAATAATAAAGATACGAACCTCTAGTCACTCACATTTCCTATTTTTTTTATATGTCATATAGTTTTTGAAGAATTACTGAGGAATGTTTCAGAAATGCTTAAAAGCAAATTTGGGGCAACAAAACACACCACTACTAAAAGGATATTTGTTATAAACATTAATATTCTTCAGTAAACAATGTTCCTTTTTTTCAATCATTATATATTTACATTATCCCTGGAAACTTTAAGGTAGCATACACTGAGAAATCATATTGATTACCTTATTTTGCTTCTTATACTCCTGGTTAAAAACCAATATTACATAGATATTCTCTACATTTTAGCTCTATGTTTAAATAGTTAATCATGAAGCTGTAAAGATTTGTTGAAGACAGATTAAGGGTTTATGAATGCCAGGCTAAGAATTTGGGATCTTTCTACCACAGCTGTAACTATCTATTAATTTTCTTGATTAAAATAATCTGATCAAGGTAAATACAAATCAAAACCACAGTGAGATGCCACCTCACACAAGTCAGAATGGCTAAAATTAACAAGCCAGGAAATGACAGGTTTGGGCAAGGACGCGAAGTAAGGGGAACTCTCCTACACTGTTGGTGGGAATGCAAGCTGGTGCAGCCACTCTGGTAAACAGTATGGAGGTTCCTCAAAAAGTTGAAAATAGAGCTGTCCTATGACCCAGCAATTGCACTATTGGGTGCTTACCCTAAAGATACAAATGCAGCAATCCAAAAGGGCACATGCACCCCAATGTTTATAGCAGTAATGTCCACAATAGCCAAACTATAGAAAAAGCCTAGATATCCATCAGCAGAAGAATGGATAAAGAAGATGTGGTATATACACACACACACACACACACACACACACACACACGCACACATATACAATGGAATATTATGCAGCCATCAAGAAACTGAAATCTTGGGGGCCTGGGTGGCTCAGTTGTTTAGCATCCGCCTTCAGCTCAGGTCATGATCTCAGGGTCCTGGGATCGAGCCCCGCATGGGGCTCTCTGCTCAGCAGGGAGCCTGCTTCTCCCTCTCCCACTCCCCCTGCTTGTGTTCCCTCTCTCACTGTGTCTCTCTCTGTCAAATAAACAAAAAAAAATTAAAAAAAAAACCCTGAAATTTTGCCTTTTGTAACAACATGGATGGAACTAGAGAGTATTATGCTAAGTGAAGTAAGTCAATCAGAGAAAGACAATTATCATATGATCTCACGAATATGAGGAATTTGAGTAACAAGAGAGAGGATAGGGAAAGGGAGGGGAAAAATGAAACAAGATGAAACCAGAGAGGGAGACAAAGCATAAGAGACTCTTAATCTCAGGGAACAAACTGAGGGTTGTCGGTGGGGAGGCAGATGGGAGGGATGGGGCGGCTGGGTGATGGACACTGAGGAGGATATGTGCTATGGGGAGTGCTGTGAATTGTGTAAGACTGATGATTCACAGACCTGTGCCCCTGAAACAAATAATACGTTATATGTTAATTTTAAAAAAAAGTTATTCTGACACTTGATTAAAAAAAAAAAAAGATCTCGATACACATAACATTTTAGATGAATCCCCAAGGAATTAAGTCAATTCTAAACTGTCACATACTGTATGATTCCATATATAGAACATTTCTGAAATATCATATTTTTTGAAATGGATGTTTAGAGATTTGTTGTCGGTGATTAGTTATGGCACAGGAACAATTCCCTAAGGCAGTTGGTATAGTTATAAAAAGGCAACCTGAGGGATCTTTGTGATATGGCACTATTCAGCATCTTGACTATTATGGTACATATACAAATCTATACATCAGACCAAGTTGTATCCAACTTAATACACACATATGTCTATACACACACTCAACAAGGAGTAAAAGGAAATGTGAGTAAGATTGGTGAGTTATATCAATGTCAGGATCCTGAATGTGATATTATGCTATAGTTTTGCAAAATGTTACCATTAGGAGAACTGAGCAAATTGTACAAGAGTTCACTCTGCACTGTTACTTATAATTACATATAAAACTCTACTTATCTAAGTAAAAATTTCATTTGAAAAATAGAATAGCATTATTCCAGCAATTGGGTTATACAGATTTGAATCAAGTAGGCAGGAACTGGATGAAAAGAAGTGATGGATTGGGAAAAAATAATCATAAAAGAAACACAAAGGTGTTTGGTAAATCTTGGTAAATGGGAGTTAAGAAAAATTCAGTGATAGTCTCAAAGCTTCAAGACAATTTACATTAAAAGAAACCAGGGGGAAAACAAAAAGAGTTAACTAGATTGGCTGGATGGTTTCATTCATGTTAGGTTTATTTGCTGGTGCATTTTTATCATTGTTGTTGGGAAAGGGGATGATATATGGGGCCAAATTTAAATATGTTATTTATATGCATACAAAGTTAAAATAAAGCAGATAATAGGCAGTTATAAAATATAAACTAAAACTTGAGAAAGACCAGTCAGATTTTTTCCATCCAAATCCTCATGTTAAATAGCCTTTCTAAAATAAAGATTTTATATTCCTATGCTTATCGTTTGCATTTGGTTCTAGGACAATATGCATGACATACAAGATAATACAGATGAAAAAGAAAAACCCTTTATAGCAATTTTATGACCCACATACAGTATAAATTAAAATTCACGAGTTTTTAAAATTAAGCAAATCAATAACATCATGCATCATTATTATGAATTGAGTAACCAATTAGAAAAGTCTTTTTAAAGTGTACATTCAAGGTAATGATCTTCAGATAATTTTCTGTCCTAACATTCCTGAGTGATAAGAAAGAATTTTCTTGGGGCTCCTGGGTGGTTCAGTGGGTTAAAGCCTCTGCTTTCGGCTCTGGCCATGATCCCAGGGTCCTGGGATCGAGCCCCACATCGGGCTCTCTGCTCAGCAGGGAGCCTACTTCCCTTCCTTCCCTGCCTCTCTGCTTACCTGTGATCTCTGTCTGTCAAATAAATAAATAAAATCTTAAAAAAAAAAAAAGAATTTTCTCAGTAGTGGTGACACATTAAAGCCAGTATTCTTAACTGCCACGCACCAAATGAAGATACGTACACACACACATTTGACATTTCACACTATTCTTGTGTGTCATCTTCTTCATAACCAAGAATTAAGAATGTCAGTTTTTCATCTATAAGTAAAAGCAAGCTACTGTTTTCTTCTAATCTTGCTTTTAATGTGTGCTTTAGGACAAGTAATCTAAATATTTTGTTTGATGATAAAGATAAAAACGTTTTATGCTATGTTATTTAAAAAATGGTACAAGAAATGTTTTCCAGAAATATTTCCAGACCCTTCACTTAGAGATACTGCCAGAGATTTTGATTTTTCAAAATGATCCGATTGGTTGCTGAGACTGCCATTTTCTTGCCAAACTTAATACTTATGCATGCTCCCTGTAGAATTTTCATAGAAAGATGAAGCCTGATAGCATTGTTCAATGAAACAAGTAAAAGTAAATGGCAACAATTCAATAAAGTATGGCAGCTGTGGAAAGAAAGGCTTTACAAGCAGGTTTAAACGTTTCTTAAGGATCTCCTGATGTTTCATCTCCCAGTAGACTAAATGTGATGAGGAGCACGATCTGATGTGTTAACCCACTAACCCACCATAATAGCATGACAGATGCTTCCTACCCGAAGGGGTCATGCCTGGGAGAGAGAGAGAGAAGCAGGAGACTGACAGAATGCCCAGGGAGCGTATTGATCCACTGACTCTTTTCTGGTAACCATTACAGAGACATGAGTTGACAGTAATTAAAATGACTTACACACTGGGATGGTTTCAAACTCAAATCTTCGACTGAAGACACCGTAGCCTGCTGCTGTGCGTGCTCGAATTTGGAAGACATATACTGACGCTGGTTTCAAGCCCTCTGCAGTCACAGTTGTCTCTTTAGATTTGATAATTGTATAGCTGGTTTCTTGGTCCTTGGATTACACATGTACATACAATAAAAAAGTCAATATGTGAATTACTGATGATGATAAAACTTAAAATCATAAATCAGAAAATCAGAAACTAATACTTGTTATTAGTACAAATATACTCTTCTCGGAAAAAACAAAAAACAAAAAACAAAAAACAAAAAACACCTCTACATCCTAGGTGTGCTAAAAGTGTTTCCTAGAACTCAGGGATGGTGGGTAACATGTTCTCTGGTCATCCACCATACTTGTCTTTGGCACAAATAAATTTGTAAACTTTTCAAATGATTTGCAGAAGATGAATTCTTTTATAGACTCTAGTTTAGTATTGGTATTTGTGTGTTTGTTTTTCTCATAAATATTTATTGGAACACATCTAACATGCTGCCTGTTCACATGGAAAAGTAGCAAGATCTCATATATTGCCAGGTTTAAGACTTGTGCTTTATATCTTTGGTGATTTTTAATTTCTAATTACATTTAGGGCTTAAGAGAAGGAATGAGGACTTGGCTGGAGAACTTTAATTTCAATTCATTATGTCTAAACAAGGATTACTAAAGAAAAACTAAAGAAATATATATTTTTTATTTTTAAAAAACTTTCCATTTTTTCACATTTATGTATTTGAGCTGGGTGCGTAGTGAATGGAGATGGAGCTAAAAAAAAAAAATCACTGTAAAGATAGCTTGGAAACTTCCTACTTTGACTGCTACCAAAGTCTACACTAACCATACATAACTTCTCCCCACCTCTGAGTTAGTACACTGAATCTTAGACTTACACACTGAATCTTAAACCTACAAAGATCTAAACACACAGTCCCTCTTCTGAACTTTCTCTTCCCTTGTATTTTTCTGTGTGAATTCTTAACTACCCTTGTATTTTCCTTAAGGTGTTTCCACAATTACTACATTTTTGATAGATATTACAGGTTGAATTAATGATAGGTAATGGTTAGAGATCTTTTTCCGTTTTTAGGAATTGGTCTTTACTTACAGTACCTTGATTGATGACTGTAAATTATCATTTTCTAGATCATTTCAGAAAATTTTACTTTACTAACAGAAGCGTGTAGAGAGGGTTTTTGTTTTGTTGTTGTTGTTTGTTTTTTTTTAAGATCTAATGGGAATAACATGTTAAGGACTTTTTTTCTGAAATGAGAAAAAAGTTGAAAACAAGAATATAACAATTACTTCTCAAGAATCCCAATAGGGTCAGGACGCCTGGGTGGCTCAGTTGGTTAAGCAGCTGCCTTCGGCTCAGGTCATGATCCCAGCGTCCTGGGATTGAGTACCACATCGGGCTCCTTGCTCGGCGGGGAGCCTGCTTCTCCCTCTGCCTCTGCCTGCCATTCTGTCTGCCTGTGCTCGCTCTCTCTCCCTCTCTCTCTGACAAATAAATAGAATCTTTATTAAAAAAAAAAAAGAATCCCAATAGGGAATACGATTATTATTTAATCTTCATAATACTATTAAAATGTAAAGTAAATGCAAATCATACTCCTTCTCCCTTGAAGTTTACAATCAACAGCAACATATCATGCTGTGACTTTAGTGTGGACACAGAAAATATGCTAAAATATAGCAAGTCAATTTTTACTTTTTTTCCTCAGTTATCTTATATGTAAAGTTGGGATAGAAATTGGTGCCTGGATATCTTCATAGACATGTTATAAGAATGAAAAAAAGTAATGCATGTGAAACACTTACTAAACTAGAAAGTACATGGTATAATTGTCATAATTATTATTTAAATTTTTTCTACTTTGACAAATCAAAGTCAATGGCTAATCACATTCTATTCTATCACCAATGCAATCTAATAATAATCTAATAAAAATAATCTATTTTTAAAGCAGTTTTACCATTCCTCATGTAATAAAGTCAAACATGTAGTATTATCTTAGGGTTAAATTCATCCAAATTTTTATATAAATAGGTATGTTCTAATTTCTAATGCAAATGGGTTTTCTGATGCACTCCACGCAAACAACTATTTTTTTAAAAATTTTTTAATGCACAGATTAATAATAAAAGTGCCAATTCTTTAAAGTGCTTAGGAAATACTACTAGAGTTTTGCAAGGATTTAAAGTATGTCATCAAATCCTATAAAATTTTACCAAGAAATTTCAATAATTTTCTTCATTCACAAACATTTATTAACTTTCTCCTTTATACTCTAATTGACCCCTTCTATACGCTAGGAATAAGGCAGTAAAAAAAGCAGACAATTTCTTGATGTGTTCCTTTTAAAGGAGGTAAATAGTTTCTATAAACTATTGTAGTTACTGATGGTCTGTGGCTGCTCAAGCTTAAGACTGAATATACAAGACTTTCTCAGTAAGATTATACTATTCACTTTGGCTATAACTGAAGAGTAATTTCAGCAAGAAATGATAAAATATATGTTTATTATTACCTGCATTTTGTTTAAAGAGAAGTTGGTTTAAATATCTAGACAAAACTAAAGATTCTGGTATATTTGATATAATTAGGATTTTTACGTAAAATATTAACATTTATAACGTAAAGTAAGAGGTTTTTTTGTTTGTTTTTAAAAAAAGCACAGAATTTCAGGGTTAGAATTCAAGCCATGCTATTGTCTAAGGAAGTGTGCAAATGTGAATATACAACTTAACCTCAGTTTTTTCTTCTTTAAAATGGGATAAAATTATTTATTAAGAGCATTGTAAGCAATAGACACGGAGACAGAGATGATATATGGAGCACCCAGCAAATCTCCACAACATAACCAGTTCTAGGTAAATTTGAGTCCTGTAGCAAGATGGTAAATTTAAAGTAAATTTAATAAAAAGAAAAAAAATTAAAATTTTGTTGTAAACTCCTAACTATTGAAGTTACAATTAATATGTCTTGTAAAATTATTAGAAGCTGACACTTCTGCCAGATTGGGGGTGGGGGCATTACAGGGAAACTGGCATGCTGCTCCTTGAAATATTGGATGATCTAATAACAATTGCATAAAATCACACAACACTCTGATTTCTATATTAACATGTATGACTAAGTGGTTTCTTCTCTGAGTTCTAATTTTGCGTTCTCTTTCTGGGTCAATTGAAATCTATAGTAACAGAGGGACTCACCAAAGCATACAACGAAGGGATGGAAAACCATAAATACACATTCTGAGTTACTTAAGCATCTTCCAAAATTTGCTTCTGTTCCACTCTTTTCAGTCACAGTAGTATTATAATTTCCTTTTTATCACAAACCCTATATATACATCTTCAACACCCACGACCACCAGGCTGCCAGATCCTGGTCAGGGCAATGGCTTTTGCTGCCTTCATGCTCCCACTGAGCAAATGAGCTACATTCCCCAGCTGCTTAGCAAACACTGTTCACATGCAGGGAGGGGAGGGCTTCAGCAGAAGGAGCCAGCTGGCAAACACCCTGCCAAGGGGCAGCTTCCCTTTGCCTCTGCCTTTAATTAAGAGATGGCAATGGGCCCATCACCATGCAGGAGCAGAGAGGCCCAATGACCTCTATTAGAGCAGGGCAATGGCAGGCAGTAATGCCAGCTGGCAAATGCAGAAGCCCTGGAAAGCTCTGCCACCTGTGTCTGGACAAGAGCCATCCAATAAAATGGCGGTAGCCTCTGAAGGTTCAAAATGAGCTCTGGAAACCTATCAGGACCCGCACCTCAATACATGCTATAAGAGCTCATTATCTTTTTCTTCTTCTTTTTCTTTTCTTTTTTTTTTTTTTCCCAAAAGTATCGAAAACAAACAAACAAAAAAACTTTCATGTCTTTTATTGGTATGCTCAATAATTTTGCTTGGCAAAAAGTTCTTGGAGTTAATATTTTCACTGTAAAAAGGAAAACACTGACCAAGAGAAGTTAATAACTTCCCCCAAATAATATATAAAGGTTTTGCTGCTTTTTAGGAATGTAAGTGGACAACTTACTCTTCATTTACTGAGACTATATAGAAATAATTTCCTAAGTTATTTTTTTCTTAGGCTGAGTTATAAAAATAATAGAATGTATAACACAGCATTGAATGTAAGATATTAAATATAAAGTTAAATTTTCATGAAATAAGTATAATTTAAAAAATTGAACTATGAAGGAAATAATTCCACAATATGGTTAAAATTCATTAGAAGGAATATTAAGAGAAAAGGACTTTGCCTATCATTTGTTGAAAAACTGTTTCACTTAAAGAAAAAATTATAAATCCTTGCTTTTATTGAGTATTATGCATATGAGACTCACGCACATGCTGGTAACAGTAAAAACAATGAAAGATTACTCATAAGAGGAAAAAAATAGGATAATTTCATTAGAAACAAAAAAGAAACCAGACATTTGGTCCTTTGGTCCAGCTAGTTGCTTTAGGGGAAAACCATACCAAAAAAAAAAAAAAAAAAAGACATCAAATTTTAGTCTTCTTGCTGTTGAAGTTTATTTCATCTACAATATATATTCAAATACAGAGTTTTGGTGAGTAGTAGTCAAAAGTTTTTTAGATACTCCCTTTTTTAATTTATTTTTTAAAGTAGGCTCAATGCTCAATTTGGGACTCAAACTCACAACCCCAAGATCAAGAGCTGTGTGCTCCACTGACTAAGCCAGCCAGCACCCTAGTACATCATTATTTTTAAATGTCATTATACATTTCAACTTCTTTTGAAATCAACTTCAATTACAATAAAAATTTGAAACTCAGAATACTTACAAAAAATCAGTTTATGTTACATATGTATATATATCCTGTTTTTCAATAGTATACAGTAATAAAATTTATAAAACAATGAATAAGGATGTAAACTTTGATTTAACAAATTATTTTGGATACAGGGTGTGTTTAGATTGTAGAGCTCTAGAATTTAAAATGCAGTTTCGAGTACTACTCCCAGAGAAACAAGAATCAATAGGGAATATTAATGACACAATATTTTACTTGATTTGTCTTATTTTTTATAATAAATACTGTAAACCATATCCCAAAATAGTTTTTTGGTTTTTTTTAAGATTTTATTTTTCAGTATTCTCTACACCCAGCATGGGTCTTGAACTCATAATTCTGAGACCAAGAATTGCATGCTCCACTGACTGAGCTAGCCAGGTGCCCCTACACCAACATAGTTTTGTCTCATAGGTATTGTATTAGGACATTCTTGGTGAATAATATATTTGATAATACATTTTTCTTTATGAAATAGAAGTATCTTCATTTATGTTCCCTAATGATTCAATAGTTATTTGTAATGCTACCAGCAAGTCATTCCTAAAAGGATTACTGAGTAATCCTTCAAAAGTAATAATCTGTTATTTATTTACCTATTTATAAAATCAGTATAAGAACTTAACACAGGCATTCAAAACCTAGAAAGGATATGTAGACATTTCCACTGTCCCGCTGTTCCCACCACTACTGTTTTATTATCATTATCTTCACACAGGTAATTGTTAAATCAATGAATAAAGAAACCATTTTTAGAAAAAAAAACAAACCTATAATGCTATGCATTATTTAATGTATTTCAATGTATTACCTATACTCTTTCATCTATGCATATACACAAAATGTTGAATTTTTAAATAACTTTCATTAATAGAATATAAGTATTTTTCCTGGTATTTTTGCATCAGTACAAGGAGAACCATTTATCCCCCTCTCTTTTCCAATGTGCTAACAAGGACAATTTCTCTGGGATGGCAAAGTTTTTAACTTCTTCCTAACCTCTTCACTATTCACTCTAACAGAAAGACTGATTGCTCCATGAGTTTAGGGAAAGCAATTGAGCACATGTGGCTGGGTCTTTTCCTTTTCTTTCCAGATCTGCTTCTCTGCATATGTTTGTAATGTTTTCTGCTCCTACTTTCATAGGAATCATACTCTTGAGTCAGAGTTCCCTACCCACCAGTCAGAGTCTCGTTTGAGCACTCGTCTATCTTTATCTCCTCTGTTAGAAGCCCTGTTGTTCTAAGTAGTGTATGCCATTCAGATCCAGACTGTATAAAAATCAAAGTAAAATGGAGGTGGGAGATATAGGAAGACCCATGGGGACTACCTATCTAAGCTATATACTATAGTTCCTCTTTAGAAGTTTTTGTTCACCTTTATTTTCCATCTGTCTTATTTCTTTGTCAATAGCTCACTTGGTTGTGGATTCAGAAAATAGAAAAATGAATAATTGATGCCTTTATTTTTTTTTAAAGATTTTATTTATTTATTTGTCAGAGAGAGAGATAGAGCACAAGCAGGGAGAGTGGAAGAAGGAGAAGCAGGCTCCGTACTGAGCAGGGAGCCCGATGCGGAACTCAATCCCAGGACCCCGAGATCATGACCTGAGCTGAAGGCAGTCGCTTAACCAATTAGGGGCACCAACCAGGCACCTCTAATTACTGCCTTTAAAACTCAAGAACTTTTATGGAAAAACATGCAAGAGTAGACCTAAGAGACAACTCCAGAAAGAAGAAATTAAGAAAATGTAGGGAATGGGAGGCATACATTTTTGCTTTTATGTCTTCTCATTTTTAAATGCAGTTTATAGGGCACCTGGGTGGCTCAGTGGGTTAAAGCCTTTGCCTTCAGCTCAGGTCATGATCTCAGGGTCCTGGAATCGAGCCCTGCATCGGGCTCTCTGCTCATCAGGGAGCCTGCTTCCCCCTCTCTCTCTGCCTGCCTCTCTGCCTACTTGTGACCTCTCTTTCTGTGTCAAATAAATAAATAAAATCTTTAAAAATAAATAAATAAAACGCAGTTTATAATACAGTATCAGGTTCTTTATATGGATTTTAAAGTTATGCTTTATATTCACATCTGATCTACCCATACCTCCTTAAGAGCATAGGTATTAGGCAGGGTTAAGGGCTATAGCCATATGTATTTTTCCTTGTAGTACACGGCAGTCGGGACTGAAGTTCAAGAACTGAAGCAGTTACAACACTTTCAAAATGTTCTATGACTTCATCTTTTAATGTTGTGAAACCTAGTTAAGCTGATGTTAGACTATGTGGCAGTAGTCCGGCAGCACAAACTATCTGGCAGTAGCAGAACAGAGCGCTCCCTATACATTTCTGGCCTCCATAATCATGACTGCAGAATCAATTGTCATTGATTTACACATAAAATTGCAACATGCTTTTCTAAAAATTGGATAATTGCAGTTGCTAAAGTGAAAAAAGAAAAAGAAGCGGAAGAAGATAAAAGGACATTCTTTATCTTATTACTCTTACCTTTTCAAAATATTTGATTTCGTACTCTAGGATGATTCCATTTGGACGATCTGGCTCTTGCCAAGACAAAGAGATGCTGTTTTTTGCAATCTTCCCCTTTTTCACATTGGTGACTGGAGAGGGAGCTGCAAAATAGTGTAAATACAGAGTTGCAGGATTAACAGAGCCCTGAAATTACAATGAGATATAATGTAGCATAATACTACATTAACAATTTAACAAGAACTACATAAACAAGTAAACTTTCTTTTAACCTAAAAACAATTTTACTTTCTTTACATAATAAAAAGTTCTAGAGATTATAAAATGTTTTACAAATATAAATCAAGTATCCTGAGAATTTTCTTAAAACTATAGTCATATAGAATCATAAGTGTACATTTTCTCTATGAAGTTTAGAAACATAAATGAACTATCTTATTTTTCTTACAGAATAAAGACATTCCTGATGAACTTATATATCGTCCATGTTTCTAAAGTTATTGGCACTGCATAACATATATCCTATTATGCTAGTTCACATGATTTTATATATATATATATGTATATATATATGTATGTATATATATACATAAAACCACTTTTTCACAACATTTAGGCTCTTTATTTTTTTAATCATGTGGGTGCTATAGTCAATAAAATCATCAGTTAAATATAGTGGGGGTTGCTTTCAAAAATATATTATTAAACTTGCAGTATTTCTTGAAAATAACAGTAGATAAGATAAAAATTTTCTTAATCTGAAAGTTTTTCCTCTAAGGAACAATAAAAAAATGTGCACTCCCACAATATAATATTAGAATTCCTAGCCACAACAATTAGGCAAGAAAAAGAAATAAAGGCATCCAAATTGGAAGAAAGTAAAAATGTCATTATTTGCAGATAACATGATACTATATATATATATATATATAAAGCTAAAGACTCTACCAAAAAACCTGCCAAAATTAATAAATTATTTTAGTCAAGTTGCAGGATACAAAATTAATATACAGAAATCTGTTGTGTTTCTATACTTTAATCATAAACTAACAGAAATAGAAATTAAAAGGACAATCACATTTACAAATACATTAGAAAGGATATATATCTAGGAATAAATTTAACCAAAGATGTGAAAGACCTGTATTCTGAAAACTATAGACACTGAAGAAAGAAATTAAAGACAACACAAATAAATGGAAAGATATGCTATGCTCATGGGTTGGAGGAATTAATACTTTTTAAATGTCCATACCATCCAAAGCAATTTACAAATTCAGTCTACACCCTACCAAAATACTAATGAAATTGTTTGTATAACTATAACAAATAATCCTAAAGTATGTACAGAATCACAAAAAAACCTAAATAGACAAAGCAGTCTTGAAAAAGAATAAAGAACTCAGAGTATCACACTACTTGATCTCAAACTATACTTCTAGGCTATAGTAATCAAAATAGTATGATATTGGAAGAAAAACAGACACATAGACTATGGAATGGATAGAATAGAAAGTCCAGATATAAACCCACAGATATATGGCCAATTAATTTATGATAAATGAAGGAAGAACATACAATGGGAGAAGAACAGTTTTTTTCAATAAGTAATGTTCAGAAAATTGGACTGTCACATGGGAAAGGATGAAACTGGACTATTATGTTATACACAAAAATTAATTTAAAATGAATCAAAGACTTGAATGTAAGATTCAAAACATAAAACTCCTAGAAGAAATATAGGCAGTAATCTCTTTGACACTCTTCTTGTGATATTTTTTTAGATATGACTTCTCTGGCAAAAATAACAAAAGCAAAAATCTATTAAAAAAAAAAAAAGGACTGCATCAAACTAACCTTTGCACAGTAAAAGAAATCATTGACAAAATGAAAAGGCAACATACTGAATGATAGAAGATATTTGAAAACCATGTATCTTATAGTTGATATCAAAATATATAAAGAATTCATACAACTCAATAACAACAACAATAACAAAAAACACCTGATTTAAAAAATGGGCAGAGGATCTGAGTAAATATTTTTCCAAAGAGGACACATAGATATGCCTGTCAACAGGCATATGAAAAGATGCTCGGTGTCACTAATCACCAGAAAAATGCAAATCAATACCACAAAAGACACTGCCTCACACCTGTCAGAGTGAGTATTATCACAAAGACAAGAAATAACAAGTGTTGACAAGGATGTGAACAAAAGGGAACCCTTGAGCACTGTTGGTGGATAAGTTGGTCCAGCTGCTATGAAAACAAAATGGAGATTCCTCAAAAAATTAAAAATAAAACTACTATAACATCTAGCAATTCCTCTTCTGGGTATCTTTCCAAAAAAGAATGAAAACACTAATTTCACAAGATATATATACCCCTATTTCATTACAGATTATTTATAATAGCCAAGACATGGAAGGAACCAAAGTATCCATCAATAGATGAATAGAAATATAAGATACTGTATACATTTATGTGATATATATGTTATATACCTGTAGAAATACACTCACCCACCCACACATATACACAACGGGATATTACTTAGCCACAAAAAAAACCCAAAAACAAAAACAACTAAATCTTATGACAACATGGATGGATCTAATAGGTAGTATACCAAGTGAAATAAGTCCTACAGAGAAAGACAAGTACTATATAATTTCACTTATATGTGGAGCTGAAAAAACCAAAACAAACTAACAAAACAGAAACAGAATCACAGTTACTGAAAATAAACTAGCTGTTGCCAGAGAGCTGGGAGAGGGGGAGACAGATGAAATAGGAGAAGGGGATTGGGAGGTATCAACTTACAGTTATAAAATAAGTAAGTTAGAGATGCAATGTACAGCACAGGGAATAGAATCAATAATACAGCAACAATTTCGTGTGGTGACAGATAATAACGACCTATCATGGTGATCATTTTGTAATGTATAAAAAATATTAACTCACTATCTTGTGCACCTGAAACTAATATAATATTGCATGTCAGTTATTGTTTAATAAAAAAGAAACATTTTCTTTCATTTCCAGCTCTCCCAAGTATTTTATTAGAAGTCACAAATACTTACGATGTTCATTGCTATCTGTCAGTGCCTATTGAATGACTTTTGATGAAAAAAAAAAATCTGTGCTATTTTAATGTGTCTGGATTTCAAACATATGAATATTTGATTCAACATCTGTTTCGTCAATCTGTAGAGATTTGTATAGATTCTGGGTTTGACAATACAAATATGTATTGACTAATATTTTTCTTGATGTAGATGATCTTTATTTGTGTAATTTTTAGCTTTGATTAAGAGAAACCATCATGCACTAGTGGATGGTGTGTGTGTGTGTGTGTGTGTGTGTGTGTAGAGAGAGTAATAATGTATATTATATAATATGTATATATTATGTATATTATAATGCACATATAAGGTAGAAAAGATGCCAGTGATAGTGAGTAGTGTATAGCCCTAACTGAACAGTATTAAACATGTGGTGAGATTAAATTACATATATATTAATTATATATAATTTATATATGTAGAATGTATATAGATAATATATCACGCATATAGATAATATATTACATAGCATTATATAGGTGTGTCTATATATGCATATATATGTGTGTGTGTGTGTGTGTGTGTGTGTGTGTGTATATATATATATATATATATATAATTTATTCACTCAAGATTAGAAGACAAATCCAGAATTGCATACAAGGATCAACATGGTCCGGCACCTTGCATCTTTTCTCACTTCATCTCCTGCTAACTGTGCCCTGGCTTTCTGTTCTTAGGCAACTTCAGACACACTTTGGCCGAAGACCTTTGTACAAGCATTTTATCATTCTATCATTCTATCTTTGTACAAGTTTCTCACCCTGACTTCTCTGGGGTCTCTCCTTCTCCTATGGTTTTCTCCTTTCCTGTCCACCCTGACTGAGGTAACTATCCCCACCTTCCCCCCCTCTCCTCACCATGCCCTCTGCTCCTTTGGGGTTTTATTTTTCTTCTTAACTCTTGCCCTTGCACTACCTGATATACATATCTGAAATACAAATTTGCTTTTTTCGATCCTCTCAAGTAGAATGTAATTTTTATAAGGACAGGGATATTGTTTATTTTATTCACTGCTAAATTCCTAGATCTAAAACAATGCCTGAGACAGAGGAGGGTCCAATAAGTATGTATGGAATGAATGGTAAAAATCAAAGTAATACATACAAAATCTTTTAAAAGGTTTAAGCCTTTTAAAATAAAAATTACTTTAAATGTCAACAAAATTAACTATGAAACTCAAGGGTCAAGTATGTCTTTTAATAAAACTAAAATAAATAAAAACAGATATGACCTGTAGGAGAGAAAAATTAGCTGTCTAGTGTTTTATATACCAACAGGGTGATAATGACTTTGGTACTTCAATGTGTACTTTTATTCTTTCAATCACAGAGTTTTGTGATACTTGGGCTCAGAGGGTTCATATTTTCAGCTTTATCTTGTTTTCTTAAACATGTCCAGTTCCTCAGAATTTTCTGCATACTACAGAACCATATAAAACCAAAATTGTCTAAAATTATGCATATAATTTTAGTGTGCATATAAAACCAAATTGTCTAAAATTATCTTGAAATTGCATTTTGTTTATCTGTATGGAAATTATAATTGACTGGTAATTCTCACAGTCATATTTTTATATAGGGTCAAAGTTTTGATTGATTTCCTAGTGAGGGAAAAGTCATCTTGTATTTGCCACTATGGACAGAGCATCAAGAAGACATGGAAACAAGAAAGAGCAAGCTATGGGCCCCATAGTTCATACAGTATCTGTAGCAATGTAGCAAATATACTCAAGTAGCAACAGTAACAAGTTGATGGTAGGGCCACTTTTCTATTCATGAATTGAATTTAACATGTATGCTCCAGGGACACCTAGGTGGCTCAGTCAGTTAAGTGTCTGCCTTCTGCTCCGGTCAGGATCCTGGCATCCTGGGGTAGAGCCCCATATCTGGCTCCCTGCCTGCTTCTCCCTCTCCTTCTGCTTGCCTCGTCTGCTTGTGATAACTCTCTCTCTCTCTCTCTTTCTCTCTCTCAAAAATAAATAAATAAAATCTTTTAAAAAATTTAAAAAAAGTA